CCATCTCTATGACTCAACGACACGCACCGTCCGTTCTGGCAGTTTCTCGAAGCGTCAGCGGCATACCTAGAAGATTCCGTCGTTTCGAGCATGAGTCGAGTGGCAGACTTCAAAGATCGCGCCCTACAGAGACGGCTTAGGCATTCCGTTTCGTTTTTCTTTTAATTTCCTCGGTTCTTTTTTCATATTTCTTTGATGTGCGGTTTACCTATAAATACTTCCATACTTCTTTATAAGTATACGCCAACTGTTGCTTATAAAGTTATGTTAGATTCAATTTAAATATGTCTAATTAAAAATAGGTCGAATTTAGCGATTCTTATGAAACGGTACATTTAAGAACGTTGCAAAAAAAATAATTTTAAATTAATCTGAGCTAATACAGCGTAGAAATACTTCCATAAAAGCGGAGACACAGGAAAATATGAGTATACATCATTTAACGAAAACAATCATATTTCCTGGGTCCACAGCCGATTCCTTTTGCAACGAAACAATGTAGTTTTATTAAAAATATATATATATATATATATATATATATATATATATATATATATATATATATTTATACTCTAATATATTATGACCAAAATCAAACACTTTAAAAACATTTGGCGTATTATCAGTAAATTAATTTAAATTCTGCTAGAATATCGTGGTGGGTATTTCCCATAGCAATTTGGTCAATGTGTTTTAAGTTAGTTGAGCGGTACGAAGGATTAAGGAACTTCTGTTGGGTCGTTTACGTCTTTTTAGACAATAGTTGGCAATAATAGGTAACGATAATGGTTCGAAGAGCTGTCAAAAATCGGTAAAAAATGCTCCTCCATTCAAAAACATCGGCGCTATAAACTTTTCACCTGAAGGAACAACTTTCCACTTTTTGGGAGCTAGTGATGTTTTATACTTATAATCTAAACTACATTACAAAGAAATTTTTGATTATATTTCGTCGCACGACATCAGAATTTGTAATAGGCTGTTCCGTCATAACTGGATAATTGATAAAGAAATGTGTTGTGTACCGATGATTATATAAATAAAAATTTGTATGTTCTAACAAAAGCTTTTGTTTAATGAGGTTTTTAGACTATACAATATGAAGCGTAGTTTAAAATTAATTTGCTGTCACTTAAAAATCCACGTAGTAATAGGATGATGTTATTGGAGAAAAATGAAAATGTTATTTAATTTGTTTATATTTATAATAAAAAATGCCGGTAACAATATTATTAGTAGATAAGCTTAAAAAGTTAAGTTTGCAAACTGTATAGTGTTATATTGATGGAAACTATAATAAATATTAATTTGAATTCATTTTTTATTATCCTACATCCTATTTTTGGTAGATAATCTGCTCATCCAACTGGCAACATCGATACTAATATTGTTTCTTCTCGTTCATATGCGAACAATATTTATTAGTCACTTTAACACAAGCAAAGCAGGCCTAAAGGTTTGATCTTGCCAGCACTGTGTAATATACACACATACGTATATAAATAGGCAGTAAAAGAATGTGTGAGAAATCTGTCGTTATATATTTGAAACACATGATTGCCATAGTTTGTATGCTGAAAGGAATTCTTCCAAAGCTATTGCATATTATGGCAATTATCTCAGCATTTTTCACTCTCTATTACGGCCTGTATTTCCAGATTAAACTATATCGTAGGTAAGTTTTCTTTCTGGTTTTTAAATTTATGATTTTGTAAAGTTTTGATCAATACTAATACAACTCTAGTATTTAACGTATTTGCTTACACACTTACAGCTGTCTAAAAGAATTAGCTAGAATTCTATTAGCTCAGCTGCGGATCCTTTTCACGAGTTTTATGAGGCGGTAAAGAGATTCTTTCAATGCTCCTTTCCAAGACAAAAGATTAAAATGAAAACTAAAAAACAGTGGATTACTAAAGGTATAAGAACATCCTGTAAAAACATGCGGGCATTGCGTCACATCAGAAAATATTACCAAGATGGTTTTTTATTTACTACTTTAATAATTACAGAAAGATCTATCGAGCAGTTATAAAAAGAGCAAAAGATATGTATTGCTATTCAACAAACAGGTCACCATTGTTAACGAATTAAGGGAGAAACACCAAAACCTTGCAGTCCTCTATAGATCCCGATTGTTTCAAATCATTTTATTGTAATATTGCTCACAATTTAACGCAAAAACAACTTTAAACAAGATCCTATTTCTTATCTCAAGGAAATTGATGTTACCACCTCCTGTGTCTTTTATAATAAATACCCTCATAAAGAGATAAAGGTATCATTTCATTCAATAAAAAATCAAAACGCTATAGGTTATGATGAGTTATAAACAAACAATTTAAAAATCTACCTGTTTTTTCACTGTCCACACTAACTTCTTTTTTTTTGTAGTTCTTGGGTTTTTATTCACAATTCATAAATAAAAAAGAAAAACACTCAAAAAATCAAATAAAATCATTTCTATCCGGACCTCTATGAGGACCCGAAAGAGAAAAAAAAGAGGGTTTTCGGTACCCATACACTAAAACGGACATAAAGAACACCACATCAACGGATACGACAAGGATTAAAGGAAATAAAACAATATAATAAAAAAAAGGATTTTTAACTTATAATTTCAATGACACACCCCAAATTTTGTACTAAGGAACTGTCGGATGTTTAACTCATTATTTTTTAAGAAAAAACAAGGTTTTAATGACAAAAAAAAATATTTTACCAATAAAAAACTACTGAAGAAGGCACTGATCAGTGCCGAAAGCTTTAACCGCACACACACGAGTTTCATTTTCCACTAACACCTAAAAACCCAAGAACTACAAGAAATAAAATATAAAGTTGTAAGAAATTTTAGAAAAGAAAGCAGAGACTTCTTTTTGTAAAGTACCAATACTAACTTTGATTAATAATAGTTTTCATGACGGAATATTTCCAAATTTCTTAAAAAAAACAGTGTTGTGATACCAGTGTCGGATTGGAACCTCCAAGGCCCACCTTTTTCGTGGTCCGATTTTCATTGAAAAGCAAAAAAGACCCTCTCACGTATTAAGAGGTATCTTACATTTAATACATTATTTGTTCTTTAAGGGCCCGCTGTCTGAACTAGGGCCCACTGCCTGAACAAGGGTCCTTAGTTTAACGAGGGCCCATTGTCTTTTGACAGGGCACCGACGGCCCAATAAGACACTGTGTGATACCCACTCATAAAAGCGGTAATAAGGAAGATCATTCCAACTTTAGAACCATTTCTCTTATTCCCATATTAGGTAAAATAATTGAAAAACTGATAAAAACTCGTCTAATAAGTTTTTTGAATAATAAGCAGTAAACAGTTTGGCTTTAAGGGCAAAACTAATAAATCAGATGCCATATTTAATTGCCTAGCGGGAGCCTACAATAATATTAATATAGATGAGAAGGTAGCAGAGATATTCTGCGATCTAACTAATGCATTCATCTGTGTAAATCACGGAGTCCTAGGGCCTAATTCCTGACGGTAACGTATGCGAGTAGAAAAATGGCATTCTTGAAAGCCTTTGCCGTATGCGAGGGATACCGCATGCGTCGCTTGGCGAATGATTGGCAACGAACGGTCTTGACCATTTAACAACCTTATCTCGCATGTGGTAACTATGGGTATCCAAGCATGTTGCTTGTCACTGTCACATAGATTTAATATAAGAGTTTATTTTTTAGATCCGATCTTCTCACCTCTGAGTAAAGTTAAAAGTAACTACTTGTTGATTAAACTAATGGGCCATTGTTTGTTAATCTGTCAAGTAAACCTACATACAACTTTACTCAGAGGTAAAAATATCGGCCCTTAATGAATTTTTTATAATTACCAAGTGTTCATTAGTCATTGTCACTAACTTTACTTAGTTATTGTGTAAATTTCTTATAAAATGGACGATATAGAGGAATTTATACAATACAAAATATTGAAGAGACACACCTAGACCTCTCAATTACACCGGGTGGCAGGATCCATTTTTGTTACCAGATGGACAGTTTATTATATATTTTGCTAGATTTAAAGTTTTCTGTTCATTCTCAATCTCTATTTCCAAATACCTACTCAAATTTATTTTATTAATGATAGAAACTACTAATTTGACACACACGGGTTAATTTTTTTTTGACATTTTTAAGCCGATAATACAGTTTTTGTTATAATGTTCTGAAATTTGATTGGTTGAAAACGATTGAACTGCTGTAATAATCAAAGACTCTTCGCTACACCATGCGACAAGAAACTACCATAACGAAGGGTAGTCAAGAATACAAATTTTCCTTCGTATGCGGTGGCAACCATGCGTTGCTAACCGAATGCGGCTTTCAGCGCAGTTTCAGGAATTGGGCTACTGCTGCAAAAACTAGCCTATTAAAGAGTCAGAGATGGGGCTCTAAAGTGGACTGAATCATACCTTGAATGAAGAAATCAACTAGTCGCTCTTCCAGTATAAGGAATGTAATCTGGGGTGTACCCCAAGAGTCGGTGTTCCTACCTCTTCCTAGTCTATATTAATGATTTATCATTCCTTGACATTTTTGGATACTTCACTCTTTTTGTAGACGACGCTACTGTCTTATGGCATTGCAAGGATGTAGATAAACATAAAAATTATTGACAGCTAATAGCAAAAAAAGTCAGAATTTCATCAACAAAATAGGTCAAATGTATCTTATAGATCGTGACAACAACGGACACTAATTTCCTCATGTCCCTTATATTCAAGAATAAAGGTTTTGATTCACCGGTGACCAAAAACGAGGATGTGATTTATCACTTCCTCTAAAGCTATCACATCATGTGATCTCGAGAATCGACACCCAGGTCGTAAATTTGAAAAAAGGCGCATCCAGCATCGTTTTTTCAATTTTTCTTCGGTTTATTTTCAGATTAGGTTGTTTAGAAATGTATTGTTTAAATTCCTACCTATACGCGCTTTAATCTTCAAATCAATGGATGAGTATTAAAAATAATATAACGTCTGAGGCAAAGAAGTTTATAATTTTAACAATTATTTAACATCCAGCATAGCTAAGTATATTCTAATATTTATTTATGTAGAATAAAATATATTTTCTAAAAAAGTAGGTAATGTAACTTTATATCTAAGGCTAAACACATTTATAATACTGTATTTGAACTGGATGTATTTTGATCTATTTGGGTGTTACTTTTAAGTACTGGTTTTTTTGCGAGTTTGTCGTTAATTAATTCTTCTTGTTCTGGTAATTTTATATTAAGATTATTGTAGTTCCACGTTTGTACCTGAAACAAAAATTACACAGGTAAAAAAGATGTTTTTTGAAGATTTGTTTTTTAATTTGTGACAAAAGAATTGAAAACTATTGGCATAATCTTTTTGTTTAAGATTTTTTAATAATTAAAATCTGTGGCACAATTGATACATAGTACTTGGGATTCGCCTTCATCAACTGTCATAAAAAATCAAGTTTACTTTAGGTTACCAGTTGAACAACTAACAAGAACAACTGATGTTTATTCAAATTATAAAGATGAGCCACTTAAAATGTTTTTAAAATAGGCCATGGCCGTCAAAGATAGAGATGCGGGGCATATAACGCCATTTTAGTGATAATGTAATTATGGTTCCACTGACAAAGTGACAGTAGATTTTTTGAGTGCGTTTCGTTTAGTTATCAATTACATACCTCTAAACTATTTTTTATAACTGACAAAAAATATTTAGAAAAATTTATAACAGTAACAACGTATATGTCAAATTTATTGATATTTTTGTCAAAAATTTGGTTAGAATTAAATGTTAGTGGAACCAAAACAGGGTTGCCAATTTGTAAGTAATTCCTCACATTTGTGAGTAATTTACTAGTCTGTAATTTTGTGAGTAATATGTGAGTAATCGGGAAGTCAGCATAGGTATATTCTTGGTAATTAGGTAAAATTTTGATCGGATAATTTATTAAAACTGTGTAATTTTTAAAAATCTTAATATAAGCCTAATTTTAGCAGTTATTACAATTTTGTAGTTTTAAAATTGCAGTGTCCTCTATTGCTTGGCCAATATAATAGAGTAAATGTGATTTTGATATTGCAACTTACAACACTAGGTGTTGTGTCGATAGTGATAGTCCCAATCTAAGGTCCCAATCGTCGTTTAATATCTTTTTTTTTTTTTTTTTTTTTTGTTAATTTTGAAAGTATTTTTTTTATTAGTACATTTTTTCGGGCATTAGAATTAATGATAAATTAATGATTTATTTATGTATTTGCCCGTTATTACAGAAGATACTCTAATTCTTCAATCATTTTTATCTGTGTTTTTTGTCAAGCTGATTACAAAGATGTTTTTTTATATATTTTACTTGGTTAATAAAATCGTGCATCCGTTTTGACTGTTGTATGTTCTGAAAATTTATCTTTTAATGTTTGGCAACATTGCACAGTGGTAAAATAAAATTAAACAAAAGCGCACGAGTACATAATATACAATTTATATAAAACAAACTAGTAATATTGATATTTTGAAGTTGTGAGTAATCCGAAAAAGTTTTTGAGAGTAAAGTGGTAAAGACTGGTTGGCAAACCTGAACCAAAATGACATCACACTAAACTGGCGTATTTTACGAGTCCAGTTAATCTTGATACAATAGAGAGTTATTGCAAGTTCACTTAAGGTCAGTCACTATTAGTGCCGCTCTTATTTTGACATCTGAGCATGCGCAGATCACTAACTTTAATAAAGATTGTGCTTGTCCTTAATAGAGAGATATTGCAAATTTCTATAAATCCATATAATAGTACATAATATTAAAGAGGCATTAGAAATTATAATTTTAGAAGGTTTAAATGACGATTATATTAAATATTTAATATTAAAAAACTTCTAACGGATACGAATGTCGGCGAGCTCATTCGAAAGCTATAAAGTCGCCACTATCTGCTGCCCTTAAACATCCACAATTAAGGACAGGCACAATCCTTAATAAAGTCAGTTTTAGAACATAAACATTTGCGCATGCTTAGATGTCAAAATAAGAGCAGCACTAATAGTGACTGACCTTAAGTGAACTTGCAATAACTCTCTTATTAAGGACAGGCACAATCTTTATTAAAGTTAGTGATCTGCGCATGCTCAGATGTCAAAATAAGAGCGGCACTAATAGTGACTGACCTTAAGTGAACTTGCAATTACTCTCTATTATATGGGTTACCGTTGGCGTTATATTAAATCACAAAACTCACTACATTAAATAGAGAAAGACAGTTTTGTGTGATGTTTTGTAAAGCCAAAACTGATAAATGACCATTCAGTAGACAGTTTTAACTACTGTCAGACAAAATTTGTCAAACTGACCATCGAGATATAATTAAGTGAAGACGATATAAACACTATTTTGCGATATGACAGATGGGCGCACTTGGAGTGACGGAAAAGTGTAATGAAAATGGCGATTTGAGTGGTATTTTGATGTCTTTGAAATTAAGAATTTTATATCTGAAGAATGATGAAATGAAAATAATTTAATATTATTTAAATATAGCTATTTAACAAAAATGGCATTTACTCTCACCAAAACTGACTAGCTTCACTATCTCGAGTTTGACATATGATGTAAAAGTGTAATTCAAAGGTGCAGACACTTTAAAATCGTCCTCTTTATTATATCTCAATGAACCTGACCGATCAGCTGATTAAGTTTTCTTTTTCAGCAGACATTTTTGACTGCTACGACTGTTCACGTATTAAATGTCAAAAACATATACAGTGTTAAATCAAGAATTTGGCAAAATTGATCAAATACCCTGTAGCAAAAGACCCATTAAGTATGTGGGTTATTTAAAGCATCTCAGTGGTTTCCATCCAAAGTTAATATTATGTATGAGTCTTTTCAAAAAAATACCTCTTATAACTTGTAGGGAATACTAAATACATTTTAGATTACCGGTATACGTAATTCCACGGTCACACTCTCAGTTTTATTTGTCTAGAAACTATCAAAAAGGTTTGGTGTAAAGCAAGCGGTAAATATTTTTAAAATATTCATTAAATATGGATATTAATATTAAATAAATAATTAATACAAAAACAATAAATCAAATGATTAAATAATCTTAAATAAGGATAATTTCCTGACCGTAGCAGAATTTTATATAAATAAAAATTTCCTTTGTGTATTCGGTCATTAATTTTATTTTATATCGTTATCACAGCACTACATATGTTTCGGAAACCTTTATTTCCATCTTCGGGTGCAGTTAAAATTTAAAAACATTAATTTCGAATACATCTTCATAAGCTAAAACAAAAGATGGGGTTTCTGGTATTTTAAAAATTTTAAACTGTTTGTAATCGTCCTTATGTGTTTTTTAACCTTTTTAAAAATTTTGACTACACCCGAAGATGGAAACAAAAATTTCCGAAACGATATAAAATAAAATTAATGACCGAATACACAAAGGAAATTTTTATTTATGTAATAATCTTAAAGTAATTACTTTATATTACTTATAAATATACTTACTTCTCCTGTCCCCCAGATATGAAAACTAATGTATGTTGAACAAGCTATAAAAGCTGTAACATAGAACACATTTCTCCATGCTGACATATTTTGCTCCTGACCTTCTAACATATGGAATGCTACCAAAGGACTAAGAAAACTTGCGGTCATATGAATTGTTTGAGCAAATGCTAGTACTGGACCCGCAAAATTGGGTGCTAAAAATGTATAAAAATTAAAAAAAAAATGTGTAAATAAACAAAAAAATACATTTACCTATATCCACTACATTGGCCATAGCTCCCGCATATGATGCTGTAATAAGGGTAACGGCAGTGAACCAAACAACGAGCACCAGCTCTATATCACATCCCAAATAACTAATAAGTAAAACCAAAATGCCAGGCAGTACTTGAGCTAAAAATAGATTTAAATGAAATATGTGTCGATTTTTTTGAAATTTTTCGCGACTTTTGAGTTTACGGCGAGTTAGAGTTAAAAACAATAATTTTATGGGTGCGTGTATTGTGTTTTTGTGTATTGCTGACACTTATCTGTGTACTATGGAAGTGGTCCTCAATTTAATTAACGTAAAGAAATTTTTTAAATATACATACGAAGAAAAGATGGAATTATAAAAGCAAAAGGTAAGCCATTACCAGATATAATTATAGAAAAAACTGGTGTAAGTAGAGGAAAAAGTTACACACGAAAATTTAATATTTATTCAAAAAACGAATGGATTTGTGGATGCAACAAAAAAATGCTTTGTACTGTTTTCCCTGTTTACTTTTTGGTGGCGATAAAGCTTGGACGTAAATAGGGGTCACCGATCTAGAACACGAAAACTAGAACACTTAAGTTTAAAGATAAAAAAACACGAAAACTCTAAAAGCCATCTTCATAATTGCATGGAATTTGCGTTGCTAGAGACAACTGATATTATGGCTCAATTAGATTCTGCTTATTGGTTAAATATACATAATGAAAATGTGTCAGGGAATAGGTATATTTTATCCAAAATTATTAATTGCATTAATACAAAATTCTCCACCAAATGGCGCGAAGCAACTTCTAAACGTGGGTATCAACAAAATGTATATATTAAGATGGTAGGTACAAGGTATGTAAATAACTAAATTCAAGTAAAGTGAAAAACAGGTATCGACAAATTAGATTTATATACAATAAAATCAAATTACAAAATTTAAATGGAATGTGGATGAACTAAAATTATTTATAAGCAGTAGTTAAAATTTCAGTTTCTATTAGTGACACAATACAATAGGCGACCTTATATCTAATATCTCAAAAGCCCTTCTTATACCAGAATTGAAGGTACTCTAGTGTTGGTGGGCATCGCGAGATGATGCGAGCAGTGGCACGTGGTGAGAAGACCTGCAAGGTTAACAGGCTATCAAAATCACCTTGTTATCTAACCGCACTTCTCACCCCTTTTTTTACATAGAGATATACTAATTTTATATACAACATGTTAACTTTTCAAACCTCTCTCCAGATAACGTTATAGAAAACCAATGCTATTCATACAGCTATTGAACAAACAGAAATTAAGCATACTTGCTACCCCACTAGGTGTTAGGCGAACCGAGAACTACTGTTTTTGATAATTACTTTTGGTACCTAGCCGTTAAATATTTTTCATTGATGGTATCCAGTTTTTTAACATTGGTAACTAAGAACATTTTGGAAAAAGAAAATTTATGCTTTAAGAGGTTCTGTCTTGTTCTTTAGATATACTAAATAAATATTTCATTTATTAACAGATCAAAGGACCTTTAAAAAAAGTTTTATATCAAAATATGTTTTCCAATAACATTATTTTTCAATATTAGTTAAATCTTTTTAAACGGGTATCTAATTATAGATACCGCCCTATATAAATAAATTTAAAAAATACTTACAAGAGGCAGTCATCAATTTGCGAACATTTGTCAGTGACATGTAACGTTTTGTTACCAATTTATCAGCTATATAACAAAACAATACTGAAGCGACATAACTGCAAATGAATGGCGCTCCTGATAGTATACCATTCTGAAAAATAAAACAATATTAATATAGTAAGTTTATAATTATAAAAAGAAAGTGAGTATTTACAGAGACTTATCGTATCCGTAATGAATTTATAAGTATATTGGATATTCTAGAAATAAGTGCCAATATTTTATATAACCACGTGTATGACAAAGTACACTTTTGATACAATTTGGTAAAATTTTAGTAGGTATATTGTTCAATTATTTACGTTGAGGGCAGCCGTATGTGATCGGTTTTAAAGTTATAATACTTTATATTCTGTTCTTGTCCAATTACAAATAACAGAAATATATCAGAAAGTAGAAAAACAACCTCCTATAAAGTACCCGCCCAATTACTCCGACTATGCCGCGGATCTAATCAGTTATTCAGTAGCACCTGGAGACAGTATTTTCCAAATTCCATTGAAATTGGCGGGATAGTTTGGGCTGTAACCTGCTAACAAAAAACATCACACACGAACATCCGGACATTTTTTAAAAAACATGTTTTTTGGGTTCCTCAGACCCCATATTGGTTTCCATAGTTACACCTAAGACAGATCTGCTACTATGTTTTTTCAAGATATCGCTTTTTTAGTTTTAATTTAATCAAATTAAAATCGTAGAAAAATTATTGTTTGCACCTCGTGTTCGAAATTTTTTGGTCATTTCTAGAGAGTGGAATATATACAAAAGGCTGAAAAATATCGAAAATTGAATCAAAGTCCCTTTTTTGTGGCAAATTGCTTGCGGAATTATTATTAATCTAAACTTTTATTAAATATAGTTCAAAAAGTTTGGATTAAAATTGTTTTCTCAACCCTTGATTCTACGCCAATGGGTTATCGTAATTTATCGTGTTAACTGATAAAGACGATTAACTAACATATACATATTTTTAATTTAATGTCTTTGCAGTAAACAAGTATGTAAATTCAAACTATAAATGAAATATAAAAGAGGTCCTAATATACTACCTTGGGGAACACCTTGCTTTATCTCTTTAATATTAGATGATTTTTGACCAAGTTTAACCTGTTGAGTTTGCTTAATGAGATAAGACGATAAAATTTTTATTGCAGAAGCACTTAACCCTACAAAATGTAAAATCCGGTGATTTATAGTATCAAAGGATCTAGAATAGTCAAAAAAAATTAGGATAACCAGCTCATTTTTATCAAGGGACGAAATTATATCATCAGTAACAGAAACCAAGGCTGTTGAACAACTATAACCAGGTCTAAATCCAGACTGATGAGAAGGCAATATTATTGGTATTTAAATGTATTCTTTTCAATAACTTTTTCAAGAATCTCTGATAAAGTAGCAATTTTAGGAAGTGGAGTTACCATTACATGTTTCCATGACTTTGGAAAATAAGAGTCTTTAATGCACATGTTTATAATATGAGTAATAAATTCAATGATAAACCAGCTATAGAGAATAATAATTTGACTATTTAAACCATCGTGACCATATACCTTTTCTTAATAATTAGTTAAGATCTACAAAGTCCTCCAGTTTACGGTACTTTATTTTAAAACACCTTGTATATGTGCATATTATGAATAAATTTTGGTGCATATACGTCTCTCTTGTCATTTTCAACGATTTTTTGACTCAGCTGATCCTCGTCAAAAAACTTTCGTGCTCGATCACCAAAGCAACACTTCATACTCTAGATACAAAAATAACTAATTATTGTCATTTTAATAAACAATGCAGTCAATATAAATAAAAAGTATCATGGCTAACCATCTTGTCAACTTAAAGTGTATATATTTTTTGCTTTTGTCATTTAGTTGTATGTTTCCCATTAAATTTGATGTCATTTATGTAACTATAACATTATTTTTAAAATGGTTTACGAATATTTCACTATTTGATGTTTAAAGGTTTTTTTCGTTTTAATCCCCAGGAATAACAAAAATTTAAATAATTGGAAGAATTAATATTTAATCCAGGGATTATCAAACAAACAAACAAAACAAACAAACAAACAAACAAACAAACAAACAAACAAACAAACAAACAAACAAACAAACAAACAAACAAACAAACAAACAAACAAACAAACAAACAAACAAACAAACAAACAAACAAACAAACAAACAAACAAACAAACAAACAAACAAACAAACAAACAAACAAACAAACAAACAAACAAACAAACAAACAAACAAACAAACAAACAAACAAACAAACAAACAAACAAACAAACAAACAAACAAACACAAACACACAAGCAAAAACACAAACAAACAAGCAAGCAACCAAACTAGCAAACAAACAAACAAATAAACGAGAATAATGAGCACACCCGGCAAACAAAAAACCGTAAGGTACATCGTGATTCTGAGTGTTTGTTTTTATCAATACAGTATAGCCAAGTTGAAAAGAGCATAACTTGCGATGAAACGAAATCAAAAAATAGGAGATCACTCGAGGTACCAACCTCACATTTGTGAGTCGACACACTCAGCGTTTTGTGAAATAATATCAGCGTCATCATAGAAGTAGTTATTTATAACCATCATGGTGATGTGTCCTAGCCCAAGAAAACTAAACACAAGAAATACACTCTTCGTATTGACTGGTTAATTGTACCACATTCAGAATAAAAAAAAGAAAATGGAGGATTAAGAACAAGTTTTATTTCGACATATTTTTAGCTGAATGATTTATTTATGTTACCAGTCAGTCTGGATTTTATAGACACCGAAATTACATTTGCTGTAGCAAAAAAATCTTAACAAATTTTCCATTAATTTGAACACTGGCCCCTTTATACAAAAGCTAAATTGAAAAAAAGTAGGTTTCAGGAAAGATAATAATTTTTAACTCACCTTTTCTATGTTAAATCCAAGAATACTCTTCATATACGTTGGCCCTGATACAATAAATATATAATGTACCCATATTCTTCCAAAAGTTGTTATTCCAATGGACCAAGCAGGAAGTGATTTGAAAATGGATTTCCATGGAACAACTTGCGTTTTAGAAACTTCATAACTGATGCTGGTGTTCTCTTTGATATACTGCTGTTCTCTCAAGCTGATTCTAGGATGAGTTTCTGGACTATCAAATGCTAACAAATACCATATTAAACACCAAATTATACCAATGGAACCTGTAGTGTAGAAAACTGAACGCCAACCAAGATGGGCTATTAGGAAACCGCAAAGTGGATACGTTATGCCAATACCGATACTAAAACCTGTAAAGAAACAATGATAGAGCTTAGTAATTTATTCATTATTAATGAACAAAGAAGGGTACACACATGTGAGCATCTTTATTATTAAGACAATGATACAATTCAAAGTTAAATGACAACCGATTTCGGCCCTAGGGCCTAAAAGAAAATAGCAATAAATGACCACGGACTCAGGGTCCTGTCAAATTTTTACCACAGTTATAATCGCCGCAATGTCAGATCAAATTTAGGTTGGTACGAATATAACAGTCTGCAAAGCTGTCAAATCCAATGTATTTGTAAAGTAAAATCACAGAATTACAATTCAATCTTACTTTTATAAAATTTCAATAATAATAGTAATTTATTAGATTTATAATCTATCAAACAAAACGTGGTGAAACATTGAGCTAATACAAATTGGCCAAGTCTTCAAAAGAATAAAACATTACTAGCAATTTTTGTCCAATATGTTATCATGGTAACCACGGTAAAAACTAAGATATTGTATATATTATCTAATAATACTGAGCGGTCTCTATCTATCGTTCACTGTTCTGATGTAGATGTTCTTTCCCGAGGAATAATATTAAAAAAGAAAGGTGTGTACATACCTTGAAAACTCGACATAAACCTGCTTCTTTCCGGAACAGGGATCCAATGACCTACAAGGGCGTACATGGCAGGCCAAGTTAAACCCTATAGGAAATTTAAAGAAAGTTAAAAAAAGAGAAAATGTTATTAGAATATTTACACGTATTAAATTTAACTACAACATCTTAGATTAAAGAGACTAGAGATGTAATATTGTACAAAGAACATGTTACAAATTTCTTTCAATGTCTGGTTACCTACAAATTGAAAATCAGGGTTTCTGGAATTGCTACGAAATACTGGACATTTCTATTCGCGATTCAAGAAAAGCGATACGTCCTCTGAAGGAAATTTGTAAAAGGTGCCTATTTCCGGCGTTGCCAACAGTAGTAGATTGCGCTAAGTCAGCGATTTTTACACCTTGTGGAAACACTTTATTTTTTAAGTAGCAAAATTTGTGTCTACCAATATGTACTCATACTCTAAATTTACACAGAACAACTGAAGATTCTGTGATTAAAAATAAGACGATTAAACGAAACATGCTAAGATATAATGTTACTCGTTTCTGAAATACAGGTTATTAAATTTGAAAATTCAAAAATTATTAATAGCTATATTTTATTTAATTTCTTAGTATAATTTTAATAAATTCGGCAAACATTTTTGTTGTCATAAAATACACCTAACAGCAAAAAAATCACTTAAATAAATTTTGCCAGTGTGCATGGATAAATAACATCTTCATCCCCTTTAAATTTTACGCCACTGTCCAAAAACTTATTTGGGCTGTACTTTTACATTCTTTGATGTTTTTTAAGTAAATCAAATATTCTTGTTGAAAACTTGTAAAGTGATTGGTTTTCGAGATATTCACACTCCAAGGTGGATATTTTAATTTATTTTTTAAATTTGTAATTTTTGTTTTTTTATTAATTCCCAAACAGACTACATGATTTATTTAAATGTGAAACATTATTTTGAATTTGACAAGTTAGACGACAGCTCATACCACCGGAACATCACATTTATATTGTTCACCCCTCCCCTGTACCAAACTACAAATAGCAAGCAATAAAAAATTCAAACTAAGTCTGAATAATTTTTTAGACAGTGTTACTTATCCATGTCTTACGCCACTGGCAAAATTTATTTAACTGATTGTTTTGCTGATTGGTGCATCTTATGACACCAAAAATATTTACTGAGTTTAGTAAAATTATACTAAATTATAACTTTCAGTATTTATAAAAGTTTATTGTGATGTTAATAAACCAAAGACTTCCCTGACGTAATTCTGGTGTTCTTCCAGTTCCCCCATCTGTAGAAACTGGCAACATTAGCGCGCTTAAACATTCATTAAGTTGCATATCTGGTCTCTTTAATCTAAGTACAATACCTATTCATTAAGAAAGTTACATACACATTGTATCTGATTATTACACAGCTGAAATAGATGTTTCAATAATAAAAAAATACCAGGTTATTAATAAAAAAAAATAACTTTATTCGTCCTTCAGTATAAAAGTTGACGTACAAGACAGAGCTGGCCAAAGCACTCGAAAAAAGTGCTTCGAGCCCCAAGCACCAAGCCCTTTGGAAGTATCCAGAACCAAGCACTAAGTGCTTGCGATTACCAATTACCGAGAAAAGTAATTGCACAATTCCATTACCAAGCACCACTTACTCAAAACAACCTCAACTGCAAAATTTTGTGAATAAATTGTTATTGACAAAATGTCTTTTGACCACTGAACTCTTATTGATTGTTGTCGCTATTGTAAATGGTTGCCATAAAGTCAATTTAGTCCGAAGTATGAAGAACCTTGCAAAAATGGCGAATATAGGAAATTTCGAATCTTTTAAATTCAGTTTCAATATTTTTAGGGTTGATTCTACATAAAAAAATATAAAACCTTCTTAACATGAACATAGGTTAGGAAATGCATAACTTTTTTAAATCAGTTTTTATAAGTAATATTAATATCCTTTACCCGATTTCATGGGCGTCGTTACACAATTCTATAGGGGGGGGGGGGGCAAATTTTTTTAAAAAAATTAGAATGTTTATTTGTTGAAAAACAAAGAAAATGAAAAATAAAAAAAGAATACAAATTAACAACAGTTTCTAATAAATAAAATAACCCAACAAAAAAGCCAAAAACTAAAATAGAAAAAACAAGAAACTTAAAACACAAATTTTTAAAAAATAAACAGAATGTGTGAAATAAAAGAAAAATATTAACAAGAAGACAGAGCCATACATAATATTTAAAAATAAAATATTTATAGAAACACAAAAACAAAAAAACTCACTCAAAGACGTTGACAATACTAGCAAAACGTACATTTTTAATTTCTTCTTCCTCTACCTAAAGTAATTGATAACAGAAAACATGAATTCTTTTTAATTTTTTGCGATTATTTTTCGATGTACGCTCATCATGCAAAGCGCAGTCAGCCTATTTTTATTATTTATTTGCTCTGTGCGTGACAATACAATTTTTAATGAAATCCCTAATTAAAATATTTTAGTAAAAGTATATGGATTTGTAAAACAAGTGACAAAATTATTATTATTATTATTATTATATATTTTTATTACTTCAGCTAAAAATAAATGTATGATATGTTGCCTAAGCCTAATAAGTTGTCATTGAAGAATAGGTTGAATAATGTAAAAATAAAAACAATACCATTATATAATAACGTAATATCAAAACGTATTAACAAAAATAATTGGTAAATTTGCGATTTTAATTTATATTTTTTTCATTTTTAATTCGAAAGAACCCATAGAAATTAATCAATAAAATTGGTTTCCTATCAATAAGTCACAAGATTGCATTTCAGCCACATACAATAATCAAAGGCAGAAATCTAATCTTTGCTGAACATTTAAAATTTAAGGGATGTTGAACAACATTGTAAAATAATAATTTATTGTTTATTTAAACCTTTCAATTTTTTGATGTCTACTGTTTCCAGTATTACTGTTATTATTACAAAAATAAAAGTTTTCTTCTTTTTATTGTACAGCTATCCATTTATTTCTTTGATTTAATTTCCATTTTGCTACTGAAAATTTATATAATTTACACTGTTTTTTCTGCTAGTATTTTTACAATGTACAACACAACAACTGCTACTGCTTTTTGTTTTGTTTTTATCTGTTAGAGAAAATAATGTTGAAATAGTTTGGTGAAAGGTTTTTATTAACGAATAACTATTTGAACAAACAATACTAGAATTAAAATTCGCACATGCGCACATTCGTTGGTTAATTTACATTGACATCTTTATAAAACAAAAGTAATTTAAGCAGGGTTGCCAACTATAATAGATACGGGTATTTTAACATTACCTACTTTTAAAAAAAAGTAAAATGTATAGGTACGTGTAAGATATGGAATAAATATATTCAACCTATAATATTCGTCAACTGTATTAGCCTGAATATTATTTTTATAGGATTGCTGTCCGTAATTCGTGGCATTTAGATTTCTACACCTATCATGTTTACCTATTTCTTCTATTCCCTTAAACAATATGAGCCAGTGCCAGTTGTGTAATTGTGTTAGTTACGTAATTTTACTGCATACAGGCGTTGTCAAAAATTAGTTTGGCCAATTGGCAATGCCAAGGCCATAAATTTAAAAAAAAAAAACGTTGTCAAACTGTGGCACGTAGTACCTACCTAACGAAATATCAGTAATTTATATACTAAGGCTGTATGTTACGATACTAAATTAAGTACTAAATTTAGAACTAAATTAATACATTTTTTAAATACTAAAAAAATTAATTAATTAATTGGAACTTCCTCTATTTTCTACCAAATTTAGTATTAAAAATGCGTTGAAATGTTGCGCAGAAGTTTTTCTCAGAAAAAGTTGACACAACGGTCTTTTCTGCACCATTTTGATTTTGGTTAGCGACAACTTTGCATTATAACCTTGGACAAATTTCGCTTGTGTTTGATTTTGTAAATTTTATTTTTTTTCGTGGTTTTTAGTAGCATTGCTGCATTTGATTGTTGTCAAGTCAACAAGTGTCAAAGTCATAGTAAAAAATCTTTTAATTCACTTTTCTCAGTTACACAGAATGTTTCATTTCTGTGCTAATTTCACGTAATATTATGTCAATGCGCGTGCGCCTATACTTAATTTAGTACTAAAAATTGGTATCGTTACAAAAGGAAAAAAAATATTTTTAGTTCTAAATTAACAACTTACTTTAGGGCTAAATTTTAGTACCTAATTTAGTAATGTGTCATACAGCCATTACGCGCTGTAAAGTCGTAAAAGCCAGGGGGGGGGCAACTGCCCCCCCTTGCCCCCCCCAAACGACGCCCATGCCCGATTTTATTAAAATTTAGCAGTGTGTTTAAAGTAATTTAGTCCCAAATGAATGAAAATTATTAAGTTCAGTGACGTCCCAAGCAAAGTACAAATAACTGTCAAATTTTAACAAAATCGAGTAAAGGATATTAATGAACTTTATAAAAAAAGTCAATACCCCGTATCTTGAAAACAATGAATTTTGAGATCTATGTCAATATAAAGAAATATTCATGTTTTCTTATGTAGAATCGCCCCTAAAATTATTGGAACTGAATTTCAGGACACCCATGTTAACAGATTCAAAAAAAAAAAAATACATTTCTTATTTTCGCTATGTCTCCATGTTTTTTCGAACTTTGGACTAAAATGACCATGGCACCATTTACAGCAGTGATCAGTCAACAATATAAGAGTATTTAAAAAAACATGTATTCACAAAATTTCGCATTGCGTTATCGGAATAAAAGAAAGATATAAATGAAAAACAAACTAAATACAAAAAAAAAAACAGTAATAATTCATAAGCAAGACTTAAAATCTAATTGTGCTTGCAAGTGCTTCAGGGCTTTTTAAGTGCTTACAAAATCTTTTGAGTGCTTGAAATGCGAAATTCAATTACTAATTAACAAGAACTTTTTAAAAAGGCCGTCAATTACCAATTACATAGCTCTGTATTTTAAAAGTGCTTGCACGCACTGTGCTCCAAGCACTATTGTGCTTAAAGCACTTTTTCAAACAATTTCGAAGCAATTATGCGCAACGACCGTTTTTAGAAATCAATCATACTTAAAAATAATGTTATGTGAGCCATTTCATTATTCAGTCATGCTCTAACCCTCCAAGTCCCTCTCTGTCTTATTTGGCCTTTGAGGCTCAACTTGTCCGATTATTATACATAATTAAACCCCTTAAGACCAAATCTATGTGACGACTATGACGGAGGTACTTTCGCGAACATTCCAGAGTCAACGGGATACTATTTCTGGGTCTATTCCAAATATAACGTGATAATGTTTCTAATTTTTGGCGAGAACGTTCTGGAACATTCACCATAATTTTAAATTGGTATATAAATATTGGTGGAGAATAACGCTGTATCAGTTATTATATGGACAGTGAAGATAAATCGTGAACAGTTTAGAGACATTCGAAATATATATAAATTAGAATAGTATTGTTATAAATAAATAAGTGTTTAAATAAATTATTAATTAATAAACCTGTTGTTTAAAATAAACAAACATCATAATAAGGTATGAGGCTTATAGTATATAAGCGTTCACTTTAATTCGACGATTATAAAGGACTAATCATTATTAACTTACTGATGCGAATCCCTGCATGAATCTTAAACCAATAACGAAACCAAAATGCGTTTCACTAGCCCAAGGAATGCAAATGCTGCAAAGGGCAGTGATTAGTTGAGCATATCCAAAAACTTTTTTGGTACCCATTTTCTGTGTAACTAAACCCCCTACTATTTGAGATATAATGTACGCCCAGTAAAAGGATGCCAGAATGTAACTTTGTACTTTGCTTGTCCATTGAAGAGTTCCTCCGTAATCCTAAAAAGTACAATAATTATATTTTTATTTATTAAGATTATTTATAATACGTACTATAATGAAATGGAGATGAGACTGTATAATTAAACTAAAGTCAATTGAATATTTTTACGAGGAACGTTTTTCAGTATCTCAACAACGCAATACTGCTCGAATTTATTAACTGGGCCTATTTGTATAATCACAAAACAAAAAAACAAGTTAAAAATGAGTGGACCAAACTCATTCAAGCGCTTGTAGCTCCAAACGAAATATATCCAATATTTAATCGTTCTGCTAGGACACTTTCTATAAGAACTGATCCTTTCGAGTTTTCTTTGTTATTGGGCTTTGGTACTATTCGGTGTTATATTTTTTAAATTAATAAAAATTATTTATAACTTTTTGGAGACCTGTTTACTTACCACCGCAAAGTTCGCGGTATCCAGTACTCCTTGTATTGCTAGCTTTCTGCAATTGTCATTTTCGCACAGTTTGACGCTGTTAACCTACAATTTAGTACAGCCACTGTTCCACACCTTAGACGAGGAAAAAGAGAGGACAAGTAATAAGTGTTCTGTGCCGATTATCGATTGGCCGCCATTATTTTGGTGCTAAGCATTTCGGCGACACCACAGCTTTTTCCTCATGTTTATTTGTGATTTTTGAATTAAACGACGTTTGATAGTTACTTTGTTACAATGGTTTATTGTGTTGCATATTAGTGTAAAAGTCGTAGCGACAAGAAATATCCAAATATTACGTTTCACAGGTAAACAATAAACATCAAGCATTTATACTTTATATTTTTTATTTTAATTGGTTATTATACAGCTTGGTATTTATATATTGCACATACCTCATTCCATGTTACTCGCCATGTTTGTTTATTTTATGCTTTTCATTCATTTTGAAGAAATTAATGATATTAAAATTGCCAAACAAGCAATTTTTTCCAGTGGCGTGTCATACAATTCTAAATATTAACTTTTATCAAATACTATTTACTGATGAATATACTTTCCATAATAACGGATTTGTGAATAGAATTTTCATTATTACAGCACCGAAAATAAAACCGATGGTTGTCAAACGTTTATGATGGAACGAAAGGTACGACAGTTGGTAAGGACCTATTTTTCTGATGGCTATAAATGGAAGACATTTTTTTAAATATTTGAAGAAAAATTTCTGGAACCTTCTTTTGGATATTAGACGAAAAATGTGGCTGCAGCTAGAGCGCATTATATCAGGACATATTTAAACTAAAAATTTCCTGAAAAATGGATAGCAAGAAGAGGCCTCTACATCACCTGACTAACCATTCTAGATTTTTTCTTATGGGGATATGTTCAAAATGTAGTTTATCAATCTCAGCCGACCACCGCTGAAGGTATGGAAACACGCATTCGTAATGCGTTTGCTATTATTAATTTAGAAATTTTAAGTAATATAAAAAATAATTTTAAAAAGTGAATCAGAATGGACATCATTTTGAACATTTATTGCAATTTTAAATTTATTGACAAATTTTGGAATAAATATGTTTTTCTACACCCGTATTATAATAATGCACTTATATGCCCATAATCCGTTTCATATTGATACCCATTATGATACAGATTTTTCATTATGATACAGATTTTTAATCAATAGAAACCTACAATTTTTCAATCAAGCATGATGTTTGACGTTTGTCCTAAATTCCTATGTAATTGTTTTAGTTGTCAAAACGTATTAAATTTTCGTAGATAGCTAAACTTCGATAATTATAATATTAAAATGTCTGATATCAGCGATATAGAACACTCCTCCACACATATAGGAGAAAGGAGAAAATGCAGTACAAAATATTTTGCCCCAAAAATCTGTGGTAATACCAGTACCCAAGGTAATACCATTAATTACAATTTTGTAGAATTTTTTATAGAAATACGAGTAATTACTGTTATTGTGTTCAATACCAATATAAATAGAATATTTATAGGTCTTGATTATTTATCGGGTGTAGAAAAAATAGCGTATGCAACTCTCATGTAATGGTTATTAAAACACTCGCATAAACCATACGAAACTCGCCTTTGGCTCGTTTCGTATCCCGGTTAATGCTCGTGTATTAATAACCATCATTACATGATCGTTGCATAATATACTATTATTAAATGGCTCTGCTAAAATAAAACTATTAGTAGATGTTTGAAACTATTGATAATAGGTTTAAAAATAATATACAAGGTATTTCAGAGTTAAACGGACCCAGCTTAATGGGAGGTAGAGTACACTTAGCTGAGTTCAAAACACCCCCATACTTAGCCTTTAAACTAAGATATAGGGTGTTTTATGACTTTTGCCAAAACTAAAGTCGGCCATTTTGTTTGAACGGCTAGACATTTTGATAAAATTTTGTACAAAAGTTACACTCTCTTAGGTTAATCAAAGCCATAATTTAATATAAAAAAATTCCAGAACCAGACTCTTTTTTTTATATTACTCTTCTTAGCTAGAATATCACCATATTTTACTCTGTTCTACACAAATTAGGTAACATCTTCATTTATTTTTAACTACTGCATTTTCCAATAAGGAAAACATCTACACAGGACCGGGATCACTTTATTTGATAAAGTAACAAAACAAACTAAAAGAAACAATTAATTAAAACTAAAGCAGATTTTCAAAATAAACACCGTGCGTGTCAATACACCTCTGCGAACGTTTTAACAGGTTTTTCACTGATTTGTCAATTATTTCCGGTTTATTTCTAATGTTGTTGCATACATTATTAATTTTTTCCAATAACTGTGCTCGGGTATTCATTCATTTATTCGTTGTACACCTCTGATTTAAGGTAGCCCCATAAAAAATAATCCAGACGTGTTAGATCTGGAGATCTTGGTGGCCAATTGACGGGAGCGCCTCGACCTATCCATCTATTTGGGAAACGATGATTTAAATGGTCTCTGACCAGTATTGGAACCATCGTGTTGAAACCTCATTCCTCTAGCATTAATCGCTTCTAAAAAATTTGGCAAGATGTCTCTAAGGAAATTTAAATAAACTTCAGCTGTTCAAAAACATAAGGGCCTATTAAATGATTTTTATAAATACCACACCATACATTTATAGAAAATCTATATTGGGAATATTTTTGTGATACAGTGTGAGGATTTTGAGTTGCCTGGTACAAATGCACTATTCGGATAACTGAAGCACGGGGAATCCCTAGTCTATCTGCGATTCGATGATTCGGCAGACCCTCATCATGCAAAGCCACTATTATTGCTTTATTGAACGCTGAAATTCTATTGCCAGGCATAGTTCCAAAGAAAAACTCAACAATGACTTAAACACTCAAAATCGATATGAACCACTTTTTACACATTGGTACCTAATATTGTGGGAAATTTTTAGATGCGCATCAACGGTGAAATAAATAAAGATTAAATGTACAAGAAAGCAGCCATGATAAATATTTTGTTTTAATATTTACGAGGGGGGTATAAGAATTTTGGCAATTATCGAGATCAAATAAATGGAGCAGCTCGTTTTTTGCATATTCGATTGACTTTAGTTAAACTATATACCTTGGTTAAACAGTAATGTCTATCTAGTTTAATCCCAGTATTTAGATTTTTTACAAAATGTTTGTAAACATCCTTCAAAGTTTTGATAAAGTAACAGAAACTAACAAAACATTTCAAAGTTATTTTATGTAAAAAAAAACTGTAGATATAGACAAAACATACCTTCACACTTTTTCAGGCTTAGGACTGGCAATTATTGGTGCATATTCTAATTGGCGTGTTTAAATGTTTTGTCTTCACCTTAGATACCTAATTGTCACACGCAAAATAATACAATTAAACAGGAGATATACTCTTGGAGGTAATGACACTTTTTTGGGCATGATTTTATTAAACTTTGAATAACTTTTTTTCCAGTTATTTGAGTGGTGCTGAAAATTAAATATTCATTCTGGCTTGTAATGTAAACAATTATTATGGAATTATTTAATTAAAATTGAGGATCTGTTTACTTATTTTATATGTTAATAAAAATATTTAATTCACGATCATATATAAACTTTTAAAAGGGTTGCAACATACGATGTATCCTATCTGCAACACGCAAAACCATGAATAATGGATTAAATTTAAATATTTTATGTCGAACACAATAAAAATATTGTTTTAAAAAAAAAAAACATTTTTTATAAATTAGTAGGCTTGGCGACTATTTCGAATAAAAATAACGTCCAAAATGGAAGGCTATGTCGCATCCCCCTTAGATATACGAGCCCTTCCCACGGACAACTATTATTTGACAGGTCGTCGGAATGCCTAATACCTGTAGAAGCATTTTTAAAAACATGAATTATATCTTTTTCATTGTGGTTTAAAATTAAATGATGTATGAATAAAATATACAAACCTTGAAGAAAAACTATCATTGCGGTCTCGGTCTACAGCTCACCGCAATGATAATAATAATAATAATCATTTTTATTTGCACCTACATACAAAAAAAATGCATAATGCATGAAATAAAAAAATATATCGTACCTATAACTAATAACTGCAAAAAAGCCGACAAATACAGGGTCCGGCAGTGAAATGGAAAGATTTGAGGTATGGTTTGCAACGCGCCGCGAAGTAGTGGGGAAGAAAGTAGCTGACTCGCCAAGACCTGCATGATTTACCATTTATTTTACCATAGAGCAGAGATAAAGGATATAAAGATTGGAAACGCAACGACAGCAGCAACACTGGCATCATCTAGCGTCTCAGATGTTAACTACAAGTCTACGTCATTTGTAGAGAGACCAGTGTTGCCAAATAATTTTTTTGAGAGATCGTACAAGTAGAGTAGAAAAAATGATATTTCGACAAAAAATTGTACAATAGATACATGCATAGCATAATATAACTTAAATGGAATGAAAAAATAAAAAAAAAACTTTGGCATGATAAATTATGTATCTATTTATAAAAATGTATACAACGAAAAAAAAAACTAAAGGA